ACAAGGCAAAGTCGGTACTATGAAAACCAGACTGCTAATAAACATACTTATATATTACTATACAGTATAGATATAGATAAATTACGCTAGAACATATGACAAATGATCGTACTCATTGCATAACTATTTGTCCATGGTAAGAGTCGAGCCCACATCCCCTGCTTATCAGTCAGGATCACTAACCACTAGCCAACAGGCAACTCAAAACAATACGTTCTATACAAGTCACAATTTTGACGTATTATTTGGCAAATGTCAAACCATGAACTGTTTATATAAACATGAATATAATAACGAATCAAATATTATTTTTTTAATCTCAAGGCGATAATGCCTGCCGTTTTTGGTGTACTTCATTTTATGGTAAGGTGCAAACGATAAGACTGGTCATCTGGTGGTGACTACATCGCCCATGGAGACCTGCAAGTTCAAGAAGTACAAGTGCATTGCCGCCTTTTCCATGCCATGATCTAACTCTGATCGCCCTGCTCTTATGTGGCGAATCATAGCTATCCTAAGATATTCGAAGAGAAATCTTTAAGAGAAATTCTACAAACAACTTTCGTTTTAGGAGACTTACATGTTCAGAAAAGTGTCAGGATTCTCAATAAAATGGTCAGCCTAGTATCTTTTTTGGGTCGTGTGAGAAAATTGTTGGGCGAAGGGGTCCCTATGATTGAATAATACCGGTTGTTTCTTTTCATAACGCAACGCGATTTGCCAACCAATTATCCGCATAGACTCCGATCGGGATAGCACTTAAGTCTCGTAACCGTCGTTCTGAGGATTCTCGAGTAATTTGATATTAAGCGAGACGGGAACAAAAACACAAGCCCTCTAGAACTAGAGAAAATAAACCTGCGTGTGTTGAGACATCATCACACATCTTATAAGAAGTTAAGCGAGCTCCAAATTATTGCAATCGAGTATCAGCTTAATAGGTACATTTAAAAGTTTATATGAGATATACGACATTTTACAGATCGACTTGGAGGCGTTGGTGGATGATCCCGGCAAGCAATACGCGGAGCGTGAAGAATTTGAAAAGCAGTACTACGCTTTGGTGGTAGCTACTGATCAGCTGATGTGCAGTTGCCACCACCGAAGCCCGTAAGCGTGTTACAGAGGATCACGCGTCTGAGATGACATCTTGTACGTCTCAAACGCAAAAACAAAATTTCACACACACACACACACACACACACACCAACAGATAGTAATAGCCCCTGCTGGACATAGGCCTCTACGTAGAAAGGAGGCTTTGGCCTACTATACCACGCTGGCAACACGGGTTGATATAGGGTCTGTGTCAAGTTTCCCTTCTCTTTGCAGTGCTGTTGTGCTCGTAGTTTGCTCCCTTAGTCGCCTCTTACGACACCCACGGGATGAACAGGAGTGGAGACACTCCGTATTCTTAATCCGTCACCACACGGACAATTCAGTTCGTTTACCTAAAATCGATTTACCTAAGTTCTCTGGCAGCTATTTTTATTTCTATCATACATAAAAATGAAGGCATGGATATAAAATCAATATACTGCATTATTTTCGTGTTTCCTTAAAGGGTAGCGCTTATTTGGTCGTCGATAATCTTGGTTTTAGGGCAGACTTGGAACTTACTCTGTAATAGATATGATAACAAAATACTACTTGTTAATAATCATGTCCAAGCGTTTTTAGTGTGGAGCCGATGAACAAAGAGGCGAGTATATCAGCTCTGTGACGCCAGCAACGCAAGGTCAGGCATTTGCATTTAAAAAATGTTTACATCATAATAAATTTTCCATAGATTACAATATTTTATCATTAAAGAATTCCTGCAATGTACAGTAGCACTTTTGTAACAAATATTTTGTAACTTATTTTTTAAAATACAGACACACAGCAAATGTATAAATTTGGAAGACCTGCTTCCAAAAGTTAAAATGTAAAAATTTTAATAATGTTAAGGCTTATTGTACGTGTTTATTTACTAAACGATAAACAATAAATTTGACAAACCTACGACATAATATTTGTATTATTTTAAAGGATCTGGCAGACAACGGGTGGGCCGGCGTGGCATGAGAGAGTTGTGTACTTTGACGCTCGGCGTTAGTATTTTAACAGCTCATGTTGCGTCGCCGTCCCGCTCCGTCCGCTGTCTGTCTCCGTAATAAAATCCCGTACCTATAGGTACAGTGGGTGTGCTTATTCAAGACAAATGCACTAAATGAAATATTTTTTTTAACTTTTAGACGTTTTTGCAGGGAAACCCTCGGTCCCCTGCATCATCAGAAATAATCAAAGCATAGACAGCTCCAACCCCCTTGGTGCCTAGGTAATACTATTGCCTCGGCTTAAGTACCTTATTTAAAAGGCCTTTTAAAGACACCGCAAAAATCTGCACTAGAATCTAGCAGCAAGAGTTGAAGTTCATTCTGAACTAGAAAAATAATAGATAATTTACATAACATTCCAGGATTCATGAAACTGCAGAATTTTATTATTATTTTAAGTAATTAAAATATCTATGTATACTCGTAGGACTTGCCTGTTGGCCTAGTAGTTAGTGACCCTGACTGCTAAGCCAGAGCACGTGGGTTCGACACAATATTGTGTGATGAGCACGATTATTTGTTCTGTGTCTGGGTGTAATTTATCTATAACATGTATGTATTTAGAAATATATATGCATGGTTTACGCCAATAGGCCAATTCTCTATGACGTAAGTGGGAATAAAATAATAGCCTGTAAAATGTGGACGTTAAATATGTTTCTGCGTATCCCTTCAGGGATAAATGTGAATATAATTATGGTATGTATGTATATTATATATGTCGCCGCCGAGTTTTGGAGGCGCCGGCAATTAATTAAATTGATTATTGTTATTAATTATTTTTGATTATTAATGTTACTCTCTAAAATATAATTAGAATTTTTAAACAAGATTGTAATTCATAATACTGTATTAACGTGAAGTTGTAATTTTGGTGAGTTAATTTGATGCAAGTCTTTGTGAATACTTTCAATGTAAGTTATTTTTACTATTTTAAATGTTTTGATTGCTTTAGACTATCAGAATTTATTTGTAATATTGTTTAAATAATTAAGGCTTGGTTTGGAATTCTTAATATGGTTATTTGTGGTAAATTTAATATTACGAAAATACGTTAGCGCCATCTGCCTCCGTTTTGACGCGCAACTTGACGTTGCCGCCAGAGTGGCAGCAGGTGGGCTTGAAAAACGTTATTGAGAGTTGAGAGGAAGTCTGTGACGGATTTTGAGCGGGAAAACAAGTGAGTGTTGAACCTTTGTCCAAATTCTCCCCGGATTCAAAATCAAATTAGTGTCTTGCGATTATTTCGATAGTTATTCGAGTTAAAGTCAATTTGTTAAGAAATAGTGTTGAAAAATAGTTATTTAAATTTTGAGTATTAACTTTCTAAGTTTTTCTAGTTGAAGTAAATGAAATCGTAATAATGTTTGACTGTTGAAAAAAAACCTTATGAGTTTCTTGTCTGTTCTTCTCATAGTGGTAATTCCATAGCGAACAGAAGTAATTTCACCTACCCCCCAAACATTGATGAAATAACTATTAAAAACAAGTCAACTCCTTAACTGTTTTGTTTCATTTAATCGTTATTACCTGGCTAGTTCCTAATTAGGTAGGTAGATCTGAATAACTCGCTATTTAGTAACTATTACTAATAGTTAGTCCTAGTAGTTGCTTCTTAGCTTAAATAAAGACTGTAGAGCCTTGACCTTGATAAAGGTCAACGGTTTTACATTACTTTTTAAATCGAACCCAAATTCTGTTTCGATATATAGGTAAATAGTAGCGGACCCGAGAGACGTTGCCCTTTACACACGTCTTACTAAAAAATCATTTTGTAGTTCACCGAATTGTGAATCTAAACCATTCTCCCATCCTCCAGACCTTGCACCTACCGACTATTACTTTTTCCAAAATTTGGACAACTTTTTAGTGGGTAAAAAATTCAATTCCCGAGAGGCAGTACAAAATGCCTTTGAAGAGTTTGTTGCCTCCCGTACAGCTGATTTTTACAAGAAGGGCATCAATAAACTGCCAATGTGTTGGCAAAGATGCGTCGATTGCATGGGTGATTACTTCGAATAACAGAAATAAAAAAGTTTGAAAAAATAAGTACTTTCACTTATTGCATACAAAACGGCAATTTCATAGGTAAAGACCTATTATATAAATATGTTTTAAAATTGTGCTTTGGGAGTCAAAAAATATATCTGCATCTGGACTAGGGGAGATTGGGTCACAGTGAATCGCGGGGTACAGTGGATAATTCAGTAAAACTCAATATGTGTTGCACTTGCATACACAAACAAACGTGTTGTTATTGCTCGTCCATGCCCCTCTCCTCCGCACTAGTCGCCGTCGCGGTATCAATGCGGGAACAGGCGCTGTCACATTCTGCTCAGTAGGTAAGTAACGAAACTATTTTTTCACGTGATTTTAAATTTTGGTTTATTTCTAGGGATAGAAGAAATATGAATGTTTGTATTTTGTCGTACGTTTGTTATTAACTAAATTTATTGTAAATCATGTTGTTTTGTCATTGAGATAGGAAGTTTTTGTTTAGTTATATTGTTTTTTTCATAAAGTCCAATGGGTCACAGTGAATGATTTTGTTTTGGGTCACAGTGGACTGCTGATTCATTGTAACCCGTGAAGTTGAATTTCATTCGTCTTTTTTTTTTAGGTAAAAATGCCTCGCAATCGGGTAAGGAAGACTCTTATCGGACTTCACACTGAAGAACAGATGAACAACGCCTTAAAACTTATAGCGGATGGCCAAAAAATAAGGGCTGTTGCTAGATCGACAGGCATTCCTTTTACAACATTATATAGGTATCATATGAAAGTTAAAATAATCCTGATCCTGAAAAACCAATAAGGCTTACACCTAATTACGCAGTACACAAAATATTTGCCGTCGAGCAAGAAAATGATATAGTCGACTATATTGTTAAGTGCAGTCAAATGTTTTATGGACTTACCATCACAGATGTTCGACGTCTTATTTACGAAGTTGCGAAGATTAACAATATAAAAGTACCAGATAAATGGCATGATACTAAGCTCGCTGGTATTGAGTATTTATATAATCTCAGAAAAAGAGATAATCGATTATCATTGCGCACCCCTGAGGGATGCAGCTTAAGCAGAGCGACGTCTTTTAACCGTCACAATGTTGGTGTGTTCTTCAGTAACCTAGAAAATGTTATGTCTAGACACACTGTCGTTGGAAATGGCACCAGAGTTTTAAACTTAGATGAAACAAATACCATGACGGTGCAAAAATGTGCCAAAGTTTTGGCAGCGAAAGGACAAAGACAGGTTTCCAAGGTCACCAGCGCAGAACGCGGGACGTTAACAACAACTTGTTATATTGTTAGCGCTTTGGGTAATGCACTGCCGCCAGTAATTTTATTTCCCAGGGTGCATTTTAAACAACATATGATTGCGGATGCTCCAACTGGAACCTTAGGTCTAGCTACACCATCCGGCTGGATGAACGCAGAATTGTTCGTGCAAACAATCCAGCATTTTATAGCCCATTCAAACAGCAGCAAAGAAAACCCTAGTCTGCTCATATACGATAACCACGAGTCGCATATTTGCATAGAAGCCTTGAATCTAGCAAAAGAAAATGGTGTGACCATTTTAACAGTGCCACCGCATTCAACAGGAAAGCTACAACCATTAGACGTCGGCATTTTCGGGCCATTTAAAAGTGCTTATAACAAAGCAGTAGACAGTTGGATGTTGCGAAATCCTGGGAAAACTTTCTCAATATATGAAGTAGCTGGATGTGTCAGGGAAGCTCACATGAAAGCTATGACACCTGGTAATATTCCCCTTCAACAGAGATATTTTAACTGATCTGGATTTTACACCATGTGAAGTTACTGATCGACAAATGGATGTGGAAAATGATCAAAATGAGAGCAATAGACCTGTTCAAGATGATAAATCAAGAACCCCATCGCCGTCAATATTAGAGTTTCCCTACCTTGATTCTAATCTAGATTTTTAACTTGAAGAACTTGGCGCTCAAGGTGATAACAGTGACAGAACGAAAACCCCATCACCACATGTACTAGAACTCCCTCCGACTCCATACACAAATATTCAACGACAACCTGATGTTACATTAGTCAACGCTTTATTGCCAATCACGAAGGCCCACGTGCAAGATAAACAACCTAAAACTACTGTTAGTACTTCCTATTTGAATAGTTCTAAGATTGCGGCTTGTTCTTTATCGACGCTGGCACTTTCGTCGTCTGCAGCTGGTACTTCTTCTGCAAATGTTAATAAGAAATTCCTGAGTCCATTTCAATTTCGAGGGCTACCTAAAGCAGGGCCACGTAAAGGGGGAAGAGCACCAAGACGTAAAGGTAAATCAATGATTGCAACTGACACACCTAATAAACATGAAATAGAAATGAGAAGAGAAGAAAAGAAACGCAAACAAATAAAGGCAATTGCAAAAACAAAGAAAAGAAAATTTTTACAAGATAGTTCCAGCGAAAGTGGAGATCAAATAAGTGTTTATTCTGAATTGATTGATGATTATGAGTCGGTGGATCCCAACAACTTTCCTGCACCTAGAAGTTTGCCAAAGGAAGGCGATTTTATTATTGTTGAATTTCAAGTAAAAGAAAAACGAATTTATTATGTGGCAAAAGTTATTGGAAATCAGGAAAATGACACTGAGGTGTCTTTTCTAAGAAGATCAGATAAAATACCAAATAATTTTCATATGCCAAACGTGCCGGATATTGCCACGGTTGCACTGCCGGATATTAAGATGATTTTACCAAAACCTAAATGTTCTGGCAATACAAAGAGAAAACAATATATGTACCACTTTGATATTGATTTTTCTAAAATAAATTTAAGTTAATTTTAACAATTTCAAAGTAAACACGTTATTGATAAAAAAAATATCAAAATTTTAATTTTATGGTAAGGGAATTTTGTTTGTTCTCAGAGCACAAAGTGATTATATTTTCGTTTATTCATAGCTTCACGTTAAATGATTACTATGGAAGTAAATGTTTTTGTTTTTATAATAGAAGACGTAAGTGGATGAAGGTGATATGTCTTATTTTCAGATTTTGTCATTTTTTGCATATATGAAGGTGATATATCGATACAAATGACTTCAGACCTTAAACAAGTCTTCAGACTTTTTTCTTTAAGACTGTTTTAAGGTCTGAAGTAATTTGTATCGACCTATCTCATTCATATACTCAAAAAATGACAAAATCTGAAAATAGGACATATCACCTTCATCTACTTACGTCTTCAATTATAATTGTTGATTTGTTAACAATGTTCCTATTAAAATATTATATGGCAACTACACTGTAAGACTGTTTAAAACTTAATATATGCAGTTGATTGAGTCCCAAAAAGCTCACCTATATTTAAGCTCATTAAAGTGACAATTCATAACTTTTTACAAGACTGATTAGTTTTACGTAATAAAAGACTGTCAATGCGTAGAAATAAATGAGTATTAACATGGAAATTATTGTCTTTTACTGTATTTTTTTGTATAGGTCCATTGGACCCCAGTCGATTCATTGTCACCCATGCTTTGATCCAAAGTGACCCAACCCAGGGTCACAGTGGACCATTTCCCTTTTTTTTTTAAAGTGGTTATAACTCGCAAGTTTATGTCATTCAAGGTACTAAATGCCTTTTTCTTTAAAGATTAGATACCCACCTTGTGATTTACTTTCAGAGATTTATTATTTTGCCATTAACTTCTGAGTAGCACTATTAAAAAAAAAAATATCCACTGTTACCCAATCTCCCCTACACTAAAGAAACTCATTGATAAGCCTAATTGCTATAGCAGGGGGACTATTGTCAGCCTGGGGAGAGCGCCACGTAGGCGGACAGCACAGGAGTCTATGTTGTCGTCTTCTAACGCCACGCATATATTGTTCGAGAACATAAAAATGTATTGATACTTTATTCCCCAGTAGCAGACAATAAAATAAAATATAATATAGTTAACACATCTCACAATTGGCCGTCCGATTCCAAACTAGGCAGAGCCTGTGCTGTGGTAACCAGACTGCTGATTAACATACTTATATATTTTTAAATACAAACATATTATAGATATATTACACCCAGACACAGAACAAGTGATCGTGCTCATCACACAATATTTGTCCTAGGCGGGAATCGAACCCACGACCTCCGGCTTAGCAGTCAGGGTCACTAACCACGGATTACGAAATCGAGAAAAAAATGATAGTTTTACATTTGAAATTATTAAGTGATAATTTTATTATTTGACTGCACTCAATTGCAGCGTCAATATCACGTTGTAGCGCTATACAATCCTAGCATCATTTACAGAAAGGTATAGTTATATAAACCTCCTTTCTAAGGAGAGGCCTATGTCCAGCAGTGGACTAATATAGGCTGTTGATGTGATGATGATGATGATAATGATAGTTCTATATTATCGCGGTAAAAAGTAGTGTCCTTCCCCACAATTCAAATGATCTTTTCTGCAATTGTTGTTCATTATACCCTTAACTTACAATGGGACCATATTTGCGACGATTTTTTTGCGATACCAATACCATCCGCATGTACTTTGAACGCGTATGCTAATGACGGTTTATTACTGGTGGAATCTGCTACTAGGGCGGGGCTTGAGAGATTAGCCAATAGATTTTTGAACTTGATATCCCAATGGGGTGAACGTAATCGCTTAACGCACCCAACACAACCTTCCAGCTACTTTTAAAAGGTAACCTCAAATCACCGCCGGGCATTAAATTTGACAATGTTACTGTAAAAAATAAAACCTCAGTGTGTTATTTAGGATTAGTTTTAGAAAGAAGACAACAAAACATGGAAAGCAATTTTTTGGGGGCACGAGATCTCGATAAAATTACAAGATTGCTTCAACAGCAGTCCTATGTCTATAATAACCTCATAGACGAATGGCAACAACGCTATTCCAGTTCTTTCCATCTGTTCGCGAACGTTTGTCGAGGACATGGCTTGAGGTGGATCACTGTGTCGCTCAATTTCTTACAGGTCATGGTAACTTTAAAAGCAAACTGTATTCATTTAAATTAGTCGAGTCACCATTGTGTCAATGCTCAACACCTAACTCTAACTGTGAACAATCTGTTCATCATATCCTCTGGGGATGTAGTCTTTGGTATAATGAACGTAATGTAATGGTATATTATGGGGATCTTGGGTCCACTAGGGTGAATTTCCGTGCGTTCAGGCGATTCTGCAATATATATTATAGAAATCATAGAAATATTATGGCTCACTTAGGACCCATAATGTTTTATGGTGCTTCCCTGTTTAAAAGGGTGTAATGCTAAGGAGGGAAGTGGATTCTGATTAATTTCTTTGCGGGTTCCAAGACGGTTTAAATTTTTTTCCTGGGACTTCCCGCGTGTCATAACTCGGTGTGTTCGTGGGTCACTGCTGTTGATCCTGGTGTACAGGAGTTACAGTGGTGGGCGTGTGGGAGGGATTAATCCCAACTTAAAAAAAAACCCTTAACTACTTAAAAGTTAAAACCATTTAAACCAAACGTTACTACAAAAAAAACGGTATTTTTTATATTTTATATTTATTAAGTTGCCAATTTTTGTTTACATATTTACGTGCTACCAAAATTACACGAACAAACAATGTTAAACAAAGTGTAATAAATTGTTATAGGCAAATACACCATGCAATGCACTGTTTTTACATTTTTGTATTTGTAAAATTGTGAGATATATCCTAATAAATCGAAAGGGAAATAATAATCGTTCTTGTAACATAGGTACAACCTACGATAAATTATTCACTATATGATCCCGTTATCGACAAGTGCCATTAGTAACTGTGTCATTCTCCTTCTGCACTCCGCGTTTGACGTGTGCACGGGCTGCATTCCACTTCCCTGAGGAGCATCATCCTGTGTAGAAAAAAAAATAGATAAGTAATGTTTTAAAGGAAAGGCTAACGTTCGATAGGATAAGGTGCCCCGTCGCCCCGTCGAGTGGCTGTTGGTAATAATCCTGCAATACACATATGACGACTCACACATGCAAAGAACCAGGGACATACCACAGCGCCATCTAACGAAGACACATGGAACTATGGAGTAACTACTGAATAGGAATTGATAATCCTGTATCGCGATATGAAGAATTCTCTCGCCGATTTCCAACATCAACCGTTGGGCCGCGGCCCGCCAAGCATGATCACCTAACCTGATCGGAGGATCGTCAATTTGTGTTGGAGGGACATAACACCCGTTTGTCCACACACAAAAATATAAATATCCTTACTTATAAGCTTTCAAAGGTCAACAGTTTTCTCAAAACAGTATCAATCCTGTGTTGATAAAGGTCATTTTTCATATTCATTTTATTTTCGGCCCGAAACCAAGTGTGATTTAACCATGTTGAATAAATACAGAGCGCGTACGTGCTTTCTAGTGTTTTATGTATGGAGAAACCAACTGCTCCTAGTTAAGTACCTCAGCTTCGTAAACATTAGGCGCCTCATCACTGTCACACGTCATCACGGGGAACATGTCCAACGCCATGCCAAGAGCAAACTGGCCACAACGTCTCCACTCTTCCATTACTCTGAAAAAAATAAGTTGAGTTATGTTCTAGATTCTAGAGCATAATTAAAACCCGAAGCTTCAGTAAAAAATAGACTTGGATTACTGCTTTAGATTTAGTCCCACGGCTTAATGGGTATCATGCTTTTGTGAAAGTGTGTTTGCCAGGATATGGGGAATTTGCTGGTAGTCGATTAGAACAGCGCTATTTTCGTACTGCTAAACTGTTACTGTTATGAACTTTTGGCAACTAGTAGCGGCAAAGGTTAGCAGATTTCTGCCAGTCCTGGACATATCTTTGCTCATTTTTTTTCACCTAGACTTGATGTTTTTATCATAAGTATGATCGATACAGGTCATTTTAGGAGGGGTAGTTACATGTGTTTTTTTTTATTTGAATCTTTAGAGTTCTTATACCACATGTTTTGTTTATGGTATAGGGAGCAAGCGAGCAGACCGGTCATCTGATGGTAAGTGACCACCGCCGCCCATGGACAACTGCAACTCAAGAGTCATAAGTGTGATGCCGCCCTTTGAGTCGATTCAATATTCAAATTCGATTAACAAAAAATTTAAACAAATAGAACTTGACATATTTGTGACTAGTCAGCAGGTGGTGATACGGGCACTCAGTCTTGAGTTCTTTTCAGAATACTAATTTTAATGTTAAGTGTTGTACTTGATTCTTTCTTAAACTCATAATCGCTTTTAAATGCTAAATTCTCGCACTTACTTATTGTAAACTGTTTTCTATTCGTGAAGACCTGTTATTGGCTGAATGTAACCTATACACTATTACATCAATTTGTAAGGCTGTTGGTCTTCCAAGATCAAAAAATGAATAAACTCATCAAAGGTTTGAAGACGTAAAAGACATGACTTTTTTTAAAGATACTTACAATTTATGCAAGGCATCCCGATTCAATGTTGTAGTAAATATTGAATCCTCATCACTCATCTGCAGCACTCTTCCGTGTAATTCATCGGTGTAAAACTCTAGGAGAGAATTGACATGTTCGGCCCAGAGCTCCCGTTCCATGCAGAGGTACAGAATGAAGACCAGGTCGATAGCAGGTGATGCATATCGTACGAGTTGGAAGTCTAATAAGTACATCTGGAATTATTTAAAAACCTCATAATTTCGATGACATACTACAATTTAGGATCTTGTAACTAATCTGAGGATGGCAAGATATTTCACCATCAGATCAGGTCTTCAGTGGTTTTTAGTGAATCTCTCGAATTTTAATTCATATGTTTTGTCTTAACGAATCCACAGATTTTGCTTAGTAAAGACGATGATTAAACCAGAAGTTAGCTATTAGATATCTCAATTCTCTTTTACGCTTAAATTTGGTTCAAAACTGATTTTTTTGGCGTTTTCCTAATTAATGCATTTTTTAACGGTTGTGGTTGTATAGACCTTCACTTGAAATAAAAAGTAATACTGACTGGCAGTAAATGAGAAGGGTGGTTTTGATTCTACATAAAAACACAGCACAATATTAGAATAAAAAATACGAGACTTACAATTTGATAATCGACCTATTTTAGGACCACGAGCGCAATGGTAATTTCAAAAAGCGTGTTGTGTTGCCTGTAAAGCAGCTTCACACTTCCGTAACTTTTTAAATTAATCTTTTCATTCAGATTTCAGGATAGCGAGTTGAAAGATATTAATAGAACTTGGAATAAAAAATAAACAACGAAATATTTACTTCATCATCATCATCATCATCAACAGCCTTTAATAGTCCACTGCTGGACATAAGCCTCTCCTTAGAAAGGAGGTTTTGGCCTACTATACCACGCTGGCCAGACGGGTTAGTATAGGGTTTGTGTCAAGTTTTCCTTCTCTCTGCAGTGCTGTTGTCCTGCGTAGTTTTTTCCCTTAGTCGGCTCTTACGACACCCACAGGATGAATAGGGGTGGTGACACTCTGTATTCTTAATCCGTCACCACACGGACAATATACGGACAAATATTTACTTACATCAGCTAAATCCCCATTCACGTATTTAAACAAGAAGTTATTAGTCCAGCAATCACCATGACATATTACTGCGAGAGGCTCCTTAGGAGTGCACAATTCCACCATGGTGTGGAAGAAACGCTCCTCGCTGCAGAACCTTCGGAACTTGTCCAGGTATACTTCTTTGTCTGGTGACTCTGAGAGCTCTACTTCAACCATTGATAGAGCATTCCTGATCGCTTCTCTGTAGTAGTTCTTGTAGTATTCTGTGTTTTCTTCTAAGAAGAACACTACAATGTAGGTGAAATTATGAAGTGTGTATTATAATCTTAGTCGAAAAACTCTAGCCTGTGTCTTACACCGCAAAGATTATAACATTATATTACATTTACAACTAACATTTTGGTAATTTTCGTTTTTTTTGCATGATACGATCATTAAAAGGAGTTCTGCAAAGGTCGTTGGTCCGTTTTTAATCAATTTTGTGAAATAATCACATGTTGCAATACCTATTAACTATTCGTGCTTTATTTTTTGCTGACAAAATATTTTATCTATGCTCGAACATGTCCGTATCTGCTCCCTGCACTAAGCTTATTGTTTGACTGCACGGATGGCGTAGTGGTTTAAGCGGTCGCCACGCCGCTTCCTACTGCGCCGAGTGTTGTGGGTTCAAACCCCACATGGAACGACACTTTGTGTGATCCACAAATTGTTGTTCTGAGTCTGGGTGTTCTTTGTGTCCGTTTCATATATGTTTGAACTGAGGGTCAGAAGGGAACTCACACTCGTCTCGTACCTGTTTAGGGTACTTAGGGGTGGGATACATAATGAAGACGTGTTAGGACGAGTCAGCATATGTGTTCCGGACAGATACGTGTGGCGGCGCCGCCGGCCGCCGCTGCTGGCTGTCCCGTGCGGGCGCACCAACCTGCAGAGAGAAGCACCGCTGACGCGCGCACTACGTACTCTGAATATAATTGCGGACGAAGTAGATTTATTTTATTGCTCACTGAGTGGATTCACAATAACAGCATTAAGAATTATTTCTTATAATAAATAAGTAGGTGGTATAACACTATTGCATTGGGCTAAGCCTGTAAAAATAGTTGTTTTTAAAGAAAATAAATAAATAAATAAATAAAGTCGCCCGCGACATAGGAATGTATTCCTACAGCGTGAGTTGTCTTTAAAAAACAAAAAAAAACTAATTTACTTTAATATTTTTAGGACAACGGCACGAACTTGAGTCATATAAAAGCAAAGTCAGCAACATCCATTTTTTTCAGAACGGCAACTTTGAATGCAGTCGGTCAGTGTAACGCCATCTATAAATATTTGAATTATCAGGTCCCTGTAAAACCAGCAACATTCCCTTTAAAATCGTCATTTTAAGTATAGGTTCGTATCAAACACAGCAACATCCTAGGTTGTTTATTGCAAAAGCAGCATCTTCCCTCTCGACCAATCAGATGTACGCATTACTCGTGATTCAGTATGGCGATTTTGTTTAACAACAACGCGAGCGTGCAATAAGAAGTAGTGATTTAAACTGTTTATAGTACTGTTTTCTCCGAAAAGATTGTAATAATAGCAAGATGGACTGTTACCCTATCTCCGTGGATAATAATTTAAGTAGAAAAAGGCAAGCTGAACCTGCTAAATGGAAAAGAAATTTGGCCAAAAGACAGAGGTAAGTTATAATGTTTATAGCGTGACCACGAAAGTTTGATCGTTGTTTTTTTACGCGGTCATGTTTTATAGGTAGGTATCGTATCTAGGTAGGTATTAGGTAATGTATGTTGTATTACAGTAGGATTTTTTGTTTTAATGTTATTTTATTTTATTTATCTGCTTATCTAAATTAATATTTTTTGTTCTAGGTATTCGGCTAAAACACTACCAAAAAGATTGCTGTGTACGCACAAGAAAACGTTTAATTGTATGTCTCTAAAAATGAGCGATGTTAAAGATTTCTTCGAAACTTTCTATGCGCAGTCAGATAAACAGAAGCAAGATGCTATTTTACTAAAACATTGCATGCCTGTTACCGTAAAGCGTTGCCGTCGTAGTAATAACTCAAACTATGCGAAGCTAACATTTCAAACCAAGTTTTACATTTATAGTAAATCAGAAAAAAAGAAGGTACAAGTGTGTCAACGCTATTTTTTGACAATTTTGCAAATAACGAAGTACAGAGTCCAAAGTATAATGAAGGAATATTACCACACTGGGAGACTTTTAGCCGAAAACGGAGGAGGCGATCATGTTTCCTTGAAATATACAGCGAAACGAAAAGCAGTCATGAGCTTCATCAATAAGATACCGTGTGAAGAACCCCATTATTGTCGAGGAAATACAAAAAGGTACTATCTTTCTTCGGAGTTATCAATCAACAGGCTATGGAAGATATATAATTCAGAAGCTGCCGATGACTTACAGGTAAAAAAATCCTATTTTCGACGTATTTTTAACACAAAATATAACCTTTCATTTGGCACTCCAAGAACCGACGTATGTGCCACTTGCTTAAGATTTTCTGAAGAAATGAAAGTCGAAAAAGATGACAATGCACGCATCAGGTTAATGACTGCCCAAAGATTACATAAATTAAAAGCTAAGTCATTCTTTGAAAAAGTTAAAGAAGAAAACACGGGTCTTATAACATTCTCTTTTGACTGCGAAAAAAATTTGAACTTACTTAAAGTTCCAGACCAGGTGGCATATTATCTGAGAAATGTTTACTTATACAATTTCACAATCGTAGCCGGCTCTTCAAAAAGTAAATTACTTCTTGAGAATGTTTTCGCATACTGCTGGACTGAGGAGAGTTATCCCAAAGCTGCGAATGAAATTGCATCAGCCGTATATCACAAGCTGAAAAATACAGACTTATCTACCATCACAAAAGTACGCCTTATGGCGGATGGATGTGCGGGTCAAAATAAGAATACCATTATGCTGGCCATGTTATCAAAATGGTTAACCGAAGCACCACAAAATGTCAAAGAAATTGAATTTATATTCCCGGTAGTGGGTCATTCGTATATACCTCCCGACAGAGTTTTTGCTCAAATTGAAAAAGAAGCACGAAAACATGAAGTCATAAACAGCCCTCAAAAGTACCTGGATATTATATCGCGGTTCAGCAAAGTGACGAAATTAGGAATTGATTGTGAAGTTTTAGATTGGAAGACTGCTTCACAAGAAGTATTTAAGCCGGTGGGTAACTGGCACTTCCAGTTTAAATTATGTAAACGTTTTATTTTAAGACGTTCTAAAAGGGCTGGAAATGTTTTGATTGGTGGACATCTCCACTATAAAACCGATGATGGAGTCTGTAAAAATGTCTGCAAAAGAGGAAAATCAAGCTCCATGCTAAATCCGTCAAAGATAAATCCATCATGTACCTTATCTGATGCAAAGAAAAAGGACATTTTAACACTGTTAAAAAGTCATTGGGGCAATGATTGGCAACAAAACGAAGAATTATTATTTTTTAAGACCCTATTAAATGACGCTGAAATTCAAGTTGAATGCGCTGGAGACAGTGAAGAGTTATGTGAACCGCAGGAAGAAATAGGTGACATGCATGTGTGATTTTTTTTAAATAAGATTAATTTACCTAATTACTTAAATGTAAAACATTTTAAAGATTTAAGTGTTATCTAATTAAATTTAATTACGATTTATTCACTTTATTTTAGTTTTACTTATCATTCCTAAACATTTCGTAAGTATCAAGATTATTTACATTCTTTCACCCAAAAAACAGCTACTGCAAAAACAGCAACATCCTAACCGAATTAAAGCAAAAGTAGCAATATCCATGTATTGGTCTCAAAAACAGCATCATTCAAAATTAATTGGTATTTTCTGGAAGCCTGCTGGTTTATAATGAAGTTTTATTCTACCTTTCATAATTCTACGATTATTCTTCAACTATAAACATACAGAACATAAGCTAAATAGTTGCGATTATTACGTGACCTAAAAAAAACAGTTATTCGCATTTCAATCAAACCGTATGTTGCTGTCTTTGCTTTTATATGACTCACTTATCACTTATTTCAAGGTCACGGGGAAGGAAAATTTTAGAAAGTCTCAATACAAATATTGTCACCAACCTGAGACCCACTATAGCATGTGACTGTTTTTGGAGCTAATCATCAACCCGTAAGTTTTTTTCACTTAAATAATTTAAGAAATGACGTTACTTACACGATCGTTCCGACTAAAACTAACATTGAAGATTTCTTAATCGATATAAAATTATTCATTTTGGTAACAGTAATTAACGACCCTTGAGTATTGGTGCGAAGTAAGAAACACCAGCCCATTCTTGTTTCATTATTTTATTTCTAGGTTCCTGCTGGGCAAGGCAAGGCGACATCAGACGACTGTCCACCAAGTTCACGTCGTCAGATACAGAAGTCATACTTATGGTATAATAAGAATGTATTCTATTAAATGACGAATAAACTCACCTTCGTTAATCCCATCTTTATCATTTAGCAGCTCATAAAAACCTTCAGGATCGTGACATTTCATAGCCAGAGACAACGCGTGGAAGTGTGACAGTTGTTTCAGCACTAGATAGCTCTGTTCTAACCCTAACCCCTGTCTCCTATCAGCCATGACGAAGCCTTCTCTCTTCAGATCCCTCAAAACCACACACTCATTGTGTGCTAAATAACATTTTGGAATTGACTGAAATGGATGTGGTATCTTCCATAGATTTTGGAAGTTCATAAAAGCAGGCCAAATTTTCGTATAGAAAGCCACTTCATTGCAAAAGAGTTCCTCACTTTTGAATGCTTCCCTCCTCTTAAGACTTTCTGGAAGGCATTTATAAATGACTGTAGTTTCCCAAGGTTCCTCGACCTCACTGGATCCATCTGATGAAGCGTGTCTGCGGACACCAGTTAAGGAGATACGGTAGACCATGGAAGTGTAATTGTCACCGCGTTTGGACCCTGGAGCACCCTAAGGATCGGAGAATAATCAAATGTATTAAGTGTCCTTCCGAATTACCAAATTAAGTAATACGTTCAAAACTTGGACTTACCTCAAAGTTCTGTACCGAGACATCAGGATAATCAGCTCTCAGCAGGCCCTGCAGAAAGTCGAGCGTGATCTCACCCATACTGTCTCCGAATGAAGAGCGAGAGTCTCCCCTACAACTCTCGATGCAGTTATCAAAATAGGACTAGTATACTTCCATACATAATATGGACAGTCCTGAGCTCAATTGACTAGAACAGATGCTCATTGCTATTGGCCGATTTTATGTACCGATCTCCGATCTCTCCGAAAGTAATTATTTCTGAGATATTTATATTTTTTCTGAGATTATAAGGCAGTTTTTCTTTTTTTTAAAGGATTGCAACAGAAATTACTAGTATTCCCGTTAACCCTACAGCTAAGCTATGCTGACTGTATACCCGAAATATTTACCCTTTCAAATAAACTATGTAGGTACACTCATGTCCATATAACCAAAGGGCTAAACTAATCTAATACGGAGCAATCCTATTGTAGTTAATCAGACACTAAGACTTATATAAGGATATTGGAAGTATATTGAAATGAAAGGTTGCTGATACTATTTAATAAATAAAAAATTATTGTGTAGTGAAAAAATTGTCCGTGTAGTGACGGATTAAGAATACGGAATGTCACTACCCCAATTCATCCCGTGGGTGTCGTAAGAGCCGACTAAGGGCGCAAAACAACGCAGGACACCAGCACTGCAAAAAGAAGGAAAACTTGACAAAAACCCTATACCAACCCGTCTGGCCAGCGTGGTATAGCTGGCCAAAACCTCCTTTCTAAGGAGAGGCCAATGTAAGTATAGCAGTGGACTATTAAAGGTTGAAGCGAAATAAAAAAAAAATTGGTTCGAAAGTTCGAGTCTTTCGAGCCGATAATTATTAAATAACAATCCCTCACAAATCTCACACACGGTCATCTGATCCCAAACTAGGCAGAGCCAGACCAGACCAGACTGCTTACAAACATATTTATACATTATTTATAAATACATACATCTCATATATAAGTTATACAAGAATGTAGAACAAATAAATGATCGTGCTCATCGCACAATAATTTGTCCTTCGTGGGAGTTGAACTCACATCCTCTGCTTAGCAGTCTGGATTACTAACCAACAGGCCAACAGGCCAGTCAAAACAATACGTTCGATACCAGTCACAATTTTGACGTCTTACTTAGCGAATGTCAAACCATGAAGTGTTTATGTAAACATGAAAATAATAACGGATTTATCCGTTATTATTTAAAAAAAAAAACTTTTATAAAAGTTTTTTTTAAATCCTCAAACAAGGCTTAATTTCGCGGTAATGCATGCCTCTTTGAGAACTCAGGTGTTTTTGATGTACTTTATTTTATGGTACCTAAGGTGCAAACGATGAGACGGGTCCTCTGGTGGTATTTACATCGCCCATGGAGACCTGCAAGTTCAAGGGTACAAGTGCATTGCCGCCTTTTCGTGAGGCCATGATATAACTCTGATCGCCCTTCTCTTATGTGGCGAATCATAGCTATCCCGAGATATTCGAAGAGAAATCTGCTGTTCCAGAAACAACTTAGGTGAGAGTTACATGTTCAGAAAAGTATCAGAATTCTCTATAACATGGTCAGCCTAGTATCTTTTGTGGGTCGTATGATTAAATTGCTGGGCGCAGGGGTCGCTATGATTGAATAATACCGGTTGTTTCTTTTCGTAACGCAACGTGATTCCCCAGCCAATTATCCGCATAGACTCCGGCCGGGATTGCAACTAGGTTTCGTAAGCAGTTATTAGTCGAGACGGGAACAAAATGACAACGCCTCTAGAACTCGAGAAAATAAATATGCGTGATTCAGCTTATGCGTCGACGAATGGACAAGCTTAAAATGCTGGAGATATTTAAATAGATGCATGCAATATACGGAAGTACGGTAGAAACGTTTTGTAATTTAGGGCTTGTCTATTTCCCAGGATATGTTGACCCAAAGAAATCAAAAAGATCCGGGAAAAAAGATTGCAACAATTTGGCCTGCGTTTTTAACAAGACATCATAGTTGTAACTAGTGCGGGCCCTAATGTGATGACACTATTAAACCAAGATCGTTGGATAAGCTTGTTACCTCGTTATCTGTCAATAAAATAAGAAACCGACCATCAAATGATGTCATTCATCCTCTTGCATTCTTTATTGCTCATTTTGCGGTTTACTGGTTTAGTTGAGTTAATTAATTATAATAGCAACATTATTCAGCGCCGTAGGCCGCTCACTGTTGAGGAAAAATAACATAAGTTCAAAACACGTTTGTTGCGTTCCCTCTATTCAAGAGCGCCGCACAGGTAACACCAGAAACTACGGATCACTTAATTCTAGATTAGCATTAGAGTACTTCGCTTAATCAAAAAGTGGTAATTTTGATTTCGATGCTTCCGGGTCACTTTTGCAGATAAAAGTGCAACTACAAGTTTTTAAGCAGGTCGACGTGGTTTTTGGAAGTCGACATAGCTTTTTCTTTATTAAAAAAAGTCAACACCCGCTTTAGGAATATAACCTGTGTCAAATATAACCTGTGTGAACTTCACAAACACACATGAAACGGACACAAAGTACATACACCCAGACTCAGAAGAACCATTTGTGTATTGCACAAATTGCAGCAGGAAGCGGCGAGGTGACCGCTTAAACGCAATCTGTGAAGTCAAAAGCTACATTAATTATGGCTCACATATATAAATAACGAGTAGATCCTCTCATACGTTGCCATGATGGAAAAGTTATTTCTTGGACGAGAGTAATCATAATAATAGTAGGTAATAATAGTACGAATTATTAGTATACGGTCCCTCCGTTTTGGTAAAGATTGGGGCAATATCTTCTGGCATTAAAGAATAATAGCCAATCTAAAATAAAATCCTTAAATATTTAACAATTAATTCTTGGCAGTTTAAATTACTTAAGTATTGTACTCATCACACATACATCACATCAACAGCCTTTAATTATCTACTGCTGGACATAGGCCTCTCCTTAGAAAGGAGGTTTTGGCCTACTTTACCACGCTGGCCAGACGGATTGGTATAGTTATATAGTATTGTACTAGTTTATTAAAATTGGAAATGTATAGGTATACCTAATTCTTTTTATTTTCATTAATTTGCTTTTAGGTTAATGGCTCCCTTTAAACGTCTTTAATAAGACTTTTAATTTGTTTGAACTCTATGTCAAAACTGTTTTTTAGATGATGTGCAATTTTTCTTACTGATACCTACCATATAAGAAGTTCAGCTTAGACAATGTTACTTCACATGGCGTAGATGGCAACATCGTGCTGTGAAACTCCCACCAAAAAATGCGTTCGAAGACTTAAATTTCTAGCTCAGAAATAATCATTTTTAAATGTAGACAATAATTTATATTGATAAGGAGAACAAACAATATTTATTTATTATCTTCAATGATATTTAAGTAGGTAACATAAAATTATAGCGGCTTTAAATACTTCCTACCATCAATATTTTAAAAAATAAGCCTTTGGAATGTAAACGTCAATGTCACCAAAAATTTGATTTTCGCCCGATAGAATCGGACAATCGGTGGATAGTTAAATTCTAACAGATTTACTAAATTTCATTAGATAATTGTTAATTCAGTTTTTTCTATACTGACTAGTGAATATAAAACAATCAACATGCCTGTGGAACAAATACAGTACTCCGAGCGATACACTGATGACGTTTATGAATACAGGTAAGATTCGAAATCGAGGTTTTACAGTTGTTTCTGGGCAAAATTATTTTTTAAAGGAGCCGAACTAGATATAAAAATGACATGCTTTATAATATAATGTACAATATGCTTAGGTAATACGTTTCCAGAAGTTTTACGTTATTTTGTCATTTAATTAATAAAATATGTAGTTACCGTACCATTTTTGTTAAATCACTGTGCTAACTGATTGTCTACTGAAAGGGAAAAGAAAGAAAACCTCTACCTATTTCTGTGTATAACCCAGATTACTTTGTAATACATTTCAGACATGTTATCCTGCCTCAAGATATCGCTCGCTTAGTCCCCAAATCCCACTTGATGACGGAGACTGAATGGCGCAACCTTGGCGTCCAACAGAGCCCCAACTGGCTGCATTTCATGGTCCATAACCCAGAACCCCATGTCCTATTGTTCCGGAGACCCAGGATGGATATACAAACGCCTGTAAACGGCCTGGATAGTAATACTAATTCAGCTGTTAAAGTATGATGAGACCTGGGTGTAGGAAATTTATATTTATTGTAGGCTCTGATAGATTACTTTTATTTCAGCCTTTTGGGGTTTTGCAGAAATACCAAGCAACTAAATTGTTTTGCGTAATGGTAACATGTAATGCTACATGCTGTAATTATTTAGTCTTCCATTAGTGCCTACATGTTATAACCATACTAAAATGTATCCTATTTTAACTAGATTGATAGATTTATGCAATTTATAACAATGCTATAATTGTTTTCATAATTGAAGACTAATATTAATTAATAACATTTAATTAAATAGCCAAATAGTTCCATCCAAAAATGTTAATATATTTATAAGCATAAATATTGTCTATTGATGATGAAGTGATTAATTAACTAATAATTGTTTGGTTATCATGGGGCCTGTTCTATTGACGTTTGCACGAACATGGTGTGCATGGACAATATACTCTGTAATCTGCGATATAGAGGGTAAATTTTGATTCATAATCAGCGTTTTCAATTGTGAAGATGAAAATAATGATGTTAACAAATTTATTGGCGAGTGCCTCTGATGTTATTCTTATCATTTGATATAAAAGTTCCTATCTAAAACATTGAGGGTATGTAGATATCTGGGGCATTGATGTCTATTCTGGCCTTGTAGCATTTGATAAAGTTTTTAACACTTAAAGCAATACTATTCGGAAAATTATTAGAACATGATCTATCCAATGACTTACAATATACCATTTTTAGTACACAGATTATTGTGCAGAGTACTTCTAAGGTTATTGTAATCTTCAACCAAAACTTGCAAGAGTCTTGCAGAACCTTTACGTCAGGATCCCCACTAAATCGTTTCATATAATAAGTCCATATTATGGTTGTGCTTCCAAAGTGAGAACTAGAGTAGATTTCTTTCTTCCAATGCCTGGCTGGTCTGGAACACAATTCATAAGGGAACGCTAATTCTTCATCATACAGACTTAATAACTTGAATGACTTTTTTAAAACGAAAGTTGATATTTCAATATCAACTTTCGTTTACAAATATACACTACGTTTAACCCCCCCACCTTTTTATACTTACAGCAAATTAATAGTGGATCTAAAATAATATGTGATGGGTTTTGGTTAAGTTTTAATGTTAAATTTATCTAAACAAGGACGGACAGACTGTTGATCGTTGATACTTGATTTGATTGTGTAATTCGTAGAGGTTTTGAGTCTGATTGTAATTTATGTCCATTAATATTGTATAATTGTGGTCTCCATGATCATATATTATCTTTAACGCTTATGAAAATGTCAGCTTGATATGCAGTTATGGGTATCGCAGCAGCATGCCTTTATTGTGTGATATTGTTGTGAAAATATATGCAGTTGCTATATATTTGTACTTTTTAATTAATATGATGAAATACAGTCTAATGTAGGTATGAAGAATACAAGTTTATGTATATTAAAGTATATTAATAAAGTAACATAATATTGTTTTTTTTTTAATATTTTAGCGCCTATTTACTAAAGAAATAATTAGTTATTACAATAGAAAACGCAAATTTATAACACATTTTTATTTCAGTTCTAGTAGGCATGTTTATTTTTTCACCCTGGGCCTTGCTAACGAAGATATCTCCATAAGGCCTCTAAAAGAAGTAGTTATTTTGTAAATACACGTTCTTGGTGAAATATTTTTTTGATGCTGGTAAGGGCGTTTTTATGGTAGGGTAAACCTGGGGCCATAAATAATCATATTTTTTTTCAACTTTTCTTTTTTTATTTGTGAAGCTGCTCCTCACGGATGATAACTTCATTGTACCCCCCGAACCAAGTACTTGGCATGTACCTTCGAAGTTCTAGTTAGCCCATACGATACTATTTGGGAGCAATTAAAAAAACATGGCTATAAATAGAAATTATTTAAATCATATAAGGGAGGATCCTCCCTTCCAATACAAAGGGAGGATCCTCCCTTTGTGTTGGAAGGACACGACATCCGTTCCTCCAGAAATAAGTCTGATATTACAGCTGAATTTCTTCAAAATCTAATTCAAAATGATTATCCTGATGTTTGATACGAGATTTTAAGGTGAGTTCGTTAGCTTATCACTAAATAGTTTAGATACGGGTGTAGTAAATCGTAAATTGAAGTGTTGCAGCCTATTGACATGTATTTTTGTTTATAAGTACTTTTCACTGGATGTATTTTTAACGAATTTCACAAAGAATCATTCATTTTCATCAATTCATCATCTCATCATCAATAAAGTCTGAGGTGACGAAGTCATGAGGGTATTTCTGCTAGCTGTTTCCTGTAGAATTCTCGGAGTTGAATTCTACAGGAAACAGCTGGCTTTGAATGTGTCACGATTTGCTGACATCCTGATCTCAAGTGGGAGCGCTATTATTTCTATCATCACCATGATGTTATGTTATGACCTTGAAAAACAATCTGCCTCACTGAAGACCCAGTGAGTGAACCCCTCCCCCCATCCTATTCTGCAAAGAGTTGAGATTCAAAAAGCGATAACATATTGGTGCCTCTTAATTTGCAGGTGTCTATGGGCGGTGGTAGTTATGCCATCAGGTGCCCCATTTACACGCTTGTCCTTAATGCCACGAAAAAAATTAAAACCAATATACAATGTACGAGAAAAAAAATGCCAAAACAATAAAACCTTTCTTCTTCAAGTTGCGCATGATAGACTTTCAAGAAGTCCGGTATTCTTCACGAGCCATCGACCTGAACTGCATCTTGTACTTGTGCATACAAAGAAACGTGAGGACTCAACATTTTGATGCTCTTAAGTTCTATGGCGACGAATTCAGCAAAAGAGTGTTCCAAATGAGTGTAAAAGGTTCTGGGTTACTCTCAATATCATAGATGAAAAGAAGTTGGATGAATTGTAAGTTTACGGACCGGGCAAAATTTTATGGGGTTTCTCTGAGAGGAAAAATAGCCTAAGTAATTTTGATTTCGATGCTTTCGGGTCGCTTTTGCAGATAAAAGTGAAACTACAAGTTTTAAGCAGTTCGACGTGGTTTTACGAAGTCGACACAGCTTTTTTTTTTATAGACCACTCCCCTACATTAGGAATATATCCTGTGTCGCGGGGGACTTTACAAACATACATAAAACGGACACAAAGAACACCCAGACTGAGAACAACAATTTGTAGATCACACAAAGTGTCGTCCCATGTGGGGTTTGAACCCACAACACTCGGCGTAGTAGGAAGCGGCGTGACGACTGTTTAAATCACTACGCCATCCGTGCAGTCAAAGATATATAGACAGCTACCTGGTAGTACAATATTATCTAACAAACAGACACAGAAGAAATATTTAAACTGGTTTTTAGGCGTATATATCGTGCAAATAACCGTGTGAGCATATTAGAAACCGATTGTTTTGATTTTACAAACAGACACTTCAATTTCATTTATTTGTAAGTATAGATGTAAGTTTTATTGAGTTGTTTTCTGGTTTCTACACTTATTCGATGAAAAACAAAAAAAACACCGGTATTCGGTGCGAGTTGAGATTTTGAGCTAAAAACGTTAAATTAAGAAACTTTTGATGTGATATGATTTATACTTTTTAGGTTACGAGAAGAGATAAGACGCAGTTAACCATTGGGACTTGGAATTGCCTTAACTCTGTTTCCTATCATGACCATACCTAACGAGAACGACAACGATTCTTCTGTACGGCAGGTGAGAACAAAATTCAAAGATGATCAATAATAATATAAATTCACATATCTCACACCCGGCAGTTTGATCCAGAACTAGGTAGAGCCTGTGCTATGGGAATCAGATAGCTGTTGATAAATAACACCCAGATACAGCACATAAATGAACATACTCATCACGCAATTATTTTTGTCCTGGATGGACATCGAACCCACCACGTTCGGTTAGCATTCAGGGTCACTAACCACTAGATAAACAGGCCAGTCACTAAATCACTAAACGCTCAACTATACACAATGCTCCTAATATTTGACTAACCTTTTCTGTGACACCCTATAGATACTAATGTTGGCGAGAATTTTGATTGTGCGACACATGATCATTGGTTACATCATCTATAGTAGATATTGCTACAATAAATAATTTGAATACTTAGCTTTTCATTTGGACTCCTTTAAGTAGGGGAGAGTGGGGGAATCACGGACGCGGGGTAATCGCGGATACGTTCGTTTGGCTATGTTAGAAAAGGATAGAAGATATTCCGAGTAATGTAAGTGTACGAGTGGTGAAAGTACATCAAAAGGATTTATATGTGATTTGTGTGACGGTTAGATTATGTCCGTGATTACCCCACACACCATTCGTAATTACCCCCCGTGTTGTGGGGTAATCCCGAACCCCATAGTTTTGTTTTCTTATTAATATTCGTTTCTGTATTGAAAGTTTTCTATGTTGCTTATCAGAACTTAAGGTTCATTAGTTAAAGTAAATGTTAAGTAATAAATGACATTCGTAACTTAATCTGGTTTTGTTTAATTTCATTTCCCCTTAAGTGTTCGTAATTACCCCACTCTCCCCTACTGGTACTTTAGATTTCTAGCATCGTTCAACGCAATAAAACTGCTACCGTCATCGCTTGGATAGAATTGGCAGTCCAGAAGGCAAATTCTCCTAATCAAAATTCGTTCAATGTTTAGTTCCGGTCTAATCTCTATCTCTCAAATGTCATAGAAGGTATTTTCGTAGTAAAATAGTAAAGTATTAGTAAGACTAGCAGATTACCGATTTTACTTTTGGCCACAATACGAAATAATCACATTACAGCTGACGTTGGATATTTAATACTTTACTACGAAAATACCTTTTATGACCGAGAGTGACCGTTATTACGAGAATTGGTCTTTCGCACTCCACCATTGTGCGCTTATCAAGAAATTCCGCCTTCTATGTGTAACATATCATCACCTGCGGTATTTGTTACGACCTACATACCTTCAAACAAATAACTACCGTTTCTAAGGACGACAACACACTTCTGACTTTTGAGTTTTAAATGTAACCCGTCTGCTCCCTAAACTACCAATACTTGCCACATCAATCTAGTGGTTGATGGGCTTCCACAGGGAAAGAGTTTGTTATCAGCTGAATAAAGCCTTTTGTTTTTCTTTTTTTCTATAGCCCCGACATGATGCGGAGGAGGTCTCCAAGACATTGGATACCATCCGTTCGTTGATTGCGAACAAAGAGTGTAGGAGAAAGTTGACGCAACTGTTTTTAGATCTGGTGGAGGAAGGTATTCTTTAATACTTTTGTAACTCATTTACTTGTACGAATAAAGAATTTTTGTGCAAAGCTGGTAAATATAATAATAGTAAGTAATAAGCTAATTATGCATTAAAAACCAGCGAGCTTTGCAGTCATTATTAACAGCCTTTATTAGTTCACTGCTAGTTAGGCTTATTATATTATATTTATAAGCATAAATATTGTCTATTGATGATGAAGTGATTAATTAACTAATAATTGTTTGGTTATCATGGGGCCTGTTCTATTGACGTTTGCACGAACATGGTGTGCATGGACAATATACTCTGTAATCTGCGATATAGAGGGTAAATTTTGATTCATAATCAGCGTTTTCAATTGTGAAGATGAAAATAATGATGTTAACAAATTTATTGGCGAGTGCCTCTGATGTTATTCTTATCATTTGATATAAAAGTTCCTATCTAAAACATTGAGGGTATGTAGGTTTCTGGGGCATTGATGTCTATTCTGACCTTCTAGCATTTGATAAAGTTTTTAACACTTAAAGTAATACTATTCGGAAAATTATTAGAACATGATCTATCCTATGACTTACAATGTACCATTTTTAGTACACATAGATTATTGTGCAGAGTACTTCTAAGGTTATTGTAGAGTCTTCAACCAAAACTTGCGAGAGTCTTGCAGAACCTTTACGTCAGGATCCCCACTAAATCGTTTCATATAATAAGTCCATATTATGGTTGTGCTTCCAAAGTGAGAACGAGAGTAATGCCTTTCTTCCAAAGCCTGGCTGGTCTGGAACACACTTCATAAGGGAATGCTAATTCTTCATCATACAGACTTAATAACTTGAATGACTTTTTTAAAACGAAAGTTGATATTGAAGCCTGTTTACAAATATACACTACGTTTAACCCCCTCCCCTCCCTTTTTATACTTACAGCAAATTAATAGTGGATCTAAAATAATATGTGATGGGTTTTGGTTAAGTTTTAATGTTAAATTTATCTAAACAAGGACGGACAGACTGTTGATCGTTGATACATGATTTTATTGTGTAATTCGTAGAGGTTTTGAGTCTGATTGTAATTTATGTCCATTAATATTGTATAATTGTGGTCTCCATGATCATATATTATCTTTAACGCTTATGAAAATGTCAGCTTGATATGCAGTTATGGGTATCGCAGCAGCATGCCTTTATTGTGTGATATTGTTGTGAAAATATATGCAGTTGCTATATATTTGTACTTTTTAATTAATATGATGAAATACAGTCTAATGTAGGTATGAAGAATACAAGTTTATGTATATTAAAGTATATTAATAAAGTAACATAATACTGTTTTTTTTTAAATATTTTAGTGCCTATTTACTAAGGAAATAATTAGTTATTACAATAGAAAACGCAAATTTATAACACATTTTTATTTCAGTTCTAGTAGGCATGTTTATTTTTTCACCCTGGGCCTTGCTAACGAAGATATCTCCATAAGGCCTCTAAGAGAAGTTCTTGACGTTCTTGGTGAAATATTTTTGGTTGGTAAGGGCTGGTAAGGGCGTTTTTATGGTAGGGTAAACCTGGGGCCATAAATAATCATACTTTTTTTTCAATTTTCTTTTTTTATTTGTGAAGCTGCTCCTCACGGATGATAACTTCATTGTACCCCCCGAACCAAGTACTTGGAATGTACCTTCGAAGTTCCAGTTAGCCCATACGATACTATTTGGGAGAAATTAAAATAACATGGCTATAAATAGAAATTATTTATATGATACTAGCTGACCCGCGCAACTTCGTCTACGTCTCTCAATAGTAATAAATTTTCTCCGTTTTTGAAACATTTTTCATTGGTGCTCCGCTCCTATTGGTCTTAGCGTGATGATATATAGCCTATAGCCTTCCTCGATAAATGGGCTATCTAACACTGAAAGAATTTTTCAAATCGGACCAGTAGTTCCTGAGATTAGCGCGTTCAAACAAACAAACAAACAAACTCTTCAGCTTTATAATATTAGTATAGATAAGGGAGGATCCTCCCTTTGTGTTGGAGGGACAAGACATCCGTTCCTCCACAAATAAGTCTGATATACAGCTGAATTTCTTGAAAATTTATTTCAAAATGATTATCCTGATGTTGTGATACGAGATTTTAAGGTGAGTTCGTTAGCTTATCACTAAATAGTTTAGATACGGGGTGTAGTAAATCGTAAATTGAAGTGTTGCAGCCATTGACATGTATTTTTGTTTATGAGTACTTTTGTATTTTTAACGAATTTCACAAAGAATCATTCATTTTCATCAATTCATCATCTCATCACCAATAAAGTCTTAGGTGACGAAGTCATGAGGGTATTTCTGTTAGCTGTTTCCTTTAGAATTCTCGGAGTTGAATTCTACAGGAAACAGCTGGCTTTGAATGTGTCACGATTTGCTGACATCCTGATCTCAAGTAGGAGCGCTTTTATTTCTATCATCACCATGATGTTATGTTATGACCTTGAAAAACAATCTGCCTCACTGAAGACCCACTGAGTGAACCCCTCCCCCCATCCTATTCTGCAAAGAGTTGAGATTCAAAAAGCGGTAACATATTGGTGCCTCTTAATTTGCAGGTGTCTATGGACGGTGGTAGTTACTTGCCATCAGGTGCCCCATTTACACGCTTGTCCTTAATGCCACGAAAAAAATTAAGACCAATATACAATGTACGAGAAAAAAAATGCCAAAACAATAAAACCTTTCTTCTTCAAGTTGCGCATGATAGACTTTCAAGAAGTCCGGTATTCTTCACTAGCCATCGACCTGAACTGCATCTTGTACTTGTGCATAGAACGAAACCTGAGGACTCATCATTTTGATGCTCTTAAGTTCTATGGCGACGAATTCGGCAAAAGAGTGTTCCAAATGAGTGTAAAAGGTTCTGGGTTACTCATTATCATAGATGAAAAGAAGTTGGATGAATTGTAAGTTTACGGACCGGGCAAAATTTTATAGGGCTTCTCTGAGAGGAAAAATAGCCTAAGTAATTTTGATTTCGATGCTTTCGGGTCGCTTTTGCAGATAAAAGTGCAACTACAAGTTTTAAGCAGTTCGACGTGGTTTTACGAAGTCGACACAGCTTTTTTTTTTTTAAATACAACTCCCGCTTTAGGAATATATCCTGTGTCGCGGGGGACTTTACAAACCTACATAAAACGGACACAAAGAACACCCAGACTCAGAACAACAATTTGTAGATCACACAAAGTGTCGTCCTATGTGGGGTTTGAGCCCACAACACTCGGCGTAGTAGGAAGCGGCGTGACGGTTTTTAGGCATATGTATCGTGCAAATAACCGTGTGAGCATAATAGAAACTGATTGTTTTGATTTTACAAACAGACACTTCAATTTTATTTATTTGTAAATATAGATGTAAGTTTTATTGAGTTGTTTTCTGGTTTCTACACTTATTCGATTAAAAACAACAAAACACCGGTATTCGGTGCGAGTTTAGATTTTGAGCTAAAAACCTTAAATTAAGAAACTTTCGAATAACAGCAAAAAAAGGTCTAGTGCAGTGATGTGATATGATTTGGACTTTTTAGGTTACGAGAAGAGATAAGACGCAGTTAACCATTGGGACTTGGAATTGCCTTAAACCTATTTCCTATCATGACCATGCCTAACGAGAACAACAACGATTCAAAATTCAAAGATGATTAATAAACATGTAAATTCACACATCTCACACACGGCAGTTTGATCCAGAACTAGGTAGAGCCTGTGCTATGGGAATCAGACAGCTGTTGACCCAACACCCAGATACAGAACATAAATGACCGTCTTATCACGCAATTATTTTTGTCCCGGGTGGAAATCGAACCCACCACGTTCGGTTAGCATTCAGGGTCACTAACCACTAGATAAACAGGCCAGTCACTAAATCACTAAACGCTCGACTATACACAATGCTCCTAATATTTGACTAACCTTTTCTGTGACACCTTATATAGATACTAATGTTGGCGAGAATTTTGATTGTGCGACACAGGATCATTGGTTACATCATCTATAGTAGATATTGCTACAATAAATAATTTGAATACTTAGCTTTTCATTTGGACTCCTTTAAGTAGGGGAGAGTGGGGGAATCACGGACGCGGGGTAATCGCGGATACGTTCGTTTGGCTATGTTAGAAAAGGATAGAAGATATTCCGAGTAATGCAATCGTGAGTCAATCCCGAACGTAGTGCCGAACAAAGAGTGGTGAAGCAACAACGCACTCGGTGTAAAAGGTATGTTAACTTTTTGTTTTTTCAACAATTTCATATAATTTTTGAGTAAAATTGAATAGATATATAATATTTTAGGTGTAACATAGAAATTCGGTATTTTTTTAATGAATTAACGTCCTAATTCAAGAATGTTTCTAAGGACTTGCCGCGTGTATCACGCGATTCTAACCTAAAAAAAGTTTTGTGATAACGTGTCTGTTGGGTAATTACGGACGATTTCAGTGGGGTAACCCCGACCGTTCGTAATTACCCGTGAACAATTAAATTATTGTTTTTTATTTTATAATTTATGTCCAGCAGTCGACTGCATTGCGTTGATGATAATAATGATGAATTTTGATGAAATACATTTGAGGAAGTTTGTTTTTATGTTTCTCTGCTTTCAGCACTGTACCTCCACGAGCTTATTTATACCTACTCAAATATGTTTCAGATGCCACGAAATTACCAAAGAAAGACGGAGACCAAATACAAATTAGAAGACTTAGAAAGAGCCATTCGGGTTGTTAAGAACAAAAAACTTTCACTAGGAAAAGCAGCTGCTACTTATTCTATTCCAAAAAGTACTATATACGACCATCTCAAAAAGGAAGTTATAAAAGAACCAAAAACTGGAAGGAAGGCTGTATTTTCTGAAGAACAGGAAAAAGAATTAGAAGAACATATCATAAAATGCAGTAAGCTATTTTATGGTTTGACCATAGAAATGGTCCGGAAAATAGCTTTTAAATTTGCCGAAGTAAATCACTTAAAGCACAATTTTGACATAACATCTCAAATGGCAGGAAAGGATTGGTTCTACGGGTTTAAGAAAAGACATCCTAATATTTCGCTACGTAAACCTGAGTCCACGTCTATCAATAGAATTACAGCTTTTAATGAAACAGAAGTGAAAATGTTCTTCGACAATTTGGAAGCTTTGCAAGCAAAAATAAGGAGTACATGAAAGGAAGGGAAAAGGCTGCTAGTTCCACTAAAGGTTCCAAGAAAGGTGTGAAGAATCGTCAAGCATTTGCAGATACTGATATTAAGATAAAGGTTCAAGAAAAGGACGTACCGCGTAAGAAAAAGAAAACCAAAGAAAGAGATGCGAAAGAAAATGAGTATTTTTGCTTAGTTTGTGATGAAAAATATGAAGATCCTCCACATGAAGATTGGATAAAATGCTACAAATGTAATTTATGAGCCCATGAAAAGTGTACGAGTGGTGAAAGTACATCAAAAGGATTTATATGTGATTTGTATGATTATTAGATTATGTCCGTGATTACCCGTGTGGGGTCATTCGTAATTACCCCCGTGTTGTGGGGTAATCCCGAACCCCATAGTTTTGTTTTCTTATTAATATTCGTTTCTGTATTGAAAGTTTTCTATGTTGCTTATCAGAACTTAAGGTTCATTAGTTAAAGTAAATGTTAAGTAATAAATGACATTCGTTACTTAATCTGGTTTTGTTTAATTTCATTTCCCCTTAAGTGTTCGTAATTACCCCACTCTCCCCTACTGGTACTTTAGATTTCTAGCATCGTTCAACGCAACAAAACTGCTACCGTCATCGCTTGGATAGAATTGGCAGTCCAGAAGGCAAATTCTCCTAATCAAAATTCGTTCAATATTTAGTTCCGGTCTAATCTCTATCTCTCAAATGTCGTAAAATGTATTTTCGTAATAAAATAGTAAAGTATTACTAAGACTAGCAGATTACCGATTCAATTTTGTTTGTAAAGTCCCCCGCGACACAGGATTTATTCCTAATGCGGGAGTTGTCATTTAAAAAAAAAAAAAAAAATTTTGGCCACAATTTGAAATAATCACATTACAGCTGACGTTGGATATTTAATACTTTACTACGAAAATACCTTTTATGACCGAGAGTGACCGTTATTACGAGAATTGGTCTTTCGCACTCCACCATTGTGCGCTTATCAAGAAATTCCGCCTTCTATGTGTAACATATTATCACCTGCGGTATTTGTTACGACCTACATACCTTCAAACAAATAACTACCGTCTCAAAGGACGACGACACACTTCTGACTTTTGAGTTTTAAATGTGACCCGTCTGCCCCCTAAACTATCAATACTTGCCACATCAATCTAGTGGTTGATGGGCTTCCACAGCGAAAGTGTTTGTTATCAGCTGAATAAATCCTTTTGTTTTTCTTTCTTTCTATAGCCCCGACATGATGCGGAGGAGGTCTCCAAGACATCGGATACCATCCGTTCGTTGATTGCGAACAAAGAGTGTAGGAGAAAGTTGACGCAACTGTTTTTAGATCTGGTGGAGGAAGGTATTCTTTAATACTTTTGTAACTCATTTACTTGTACGAATAAAGAATTTTTGTGCAAAGCTGGTAAATATAATAATAGTAAGTAATAAGCTAATTATGCATTAAAAACCAGCGAGCTTTGCAGTCATTATTAACAGCCTTTATTAGTTCACTGCTAGTTAGGCTTACTATATCACGCTGGCCAGACTAGTTCGTGTAGGGTTTGTGTCAAGTTTTCCTTCTCTTTGCAGTGCTGGGTCACGGGACTATAAACAAGGGTTGATAAAATAAAATAACTAATATACTATGTTGAATGTTTATTTGTGTTTTAACTTCTAAAAACATTATGAACACAGTAAAATATAGAAATAAATGCGGAAGTAGTACATTTCATAAAGTTGCCAATGTTAAAATAAAGATTAAATTTCATAAAACAGAACACTATCGTACTACACAATAACCAAAAAATAAAATTATTAACAATATATTAGTGTAAACTTCTAATTTCTATTTTCGTTAAAATAATAATAATAATAAAGATTGTGCTTTTCCCTTATACACTATATTAGCGAAATTAATAAGAATTTGAAGTAACGGTCGTTGGGTGAGCCAAAATTTCTGGAAAGTTTGCCAGCTCAAAAAAAATGCTGCCAATTAAAATTTCAGCTCACCGTCACGACATCAAAATAATAAACCGCGACACGGTTAGATCGGAAGTTCTTAATGTAAAGTTAGCTTCAACAGGATTATTTAACGATCGTATAAAAGTCTCTCCAATATATCCTTATATTATAAATGTAGGCAGCATCTTACTAGTAGACATACGGTACATAATCGAGATACATCCGGTATGCGACATAAAACCGTCACTACCGATATTAGCCTAATCGAAAAATGCGTCGTTCTGCCTTTTCTTAAAGTCAAAATTTGGATACATGTTCCTAAGAAGAATCTACAGTCAGACAGTATTGTCAAAGATGGAACGCGATTGTCTCCCAATCAAAAGAATCTTCTAGAAATTTTCAAGGACAAATTTTCTTCTTTGGTTTGTTACACAATCACGTTACACAATGTGACCTAACAATGAAGGAAAGGGAACTGTCACTACTCTGCATAGAAGCGCTTCGATTATTTACTTTATTTTCATCATCTAACGATACATTTTTGATAACTCGATAAATGTTTAACATATACAAACATGCATATAAATAACATGCTTGATATCATTTTGGCTACATCTAAATACTACTCGCAAAACGTTTAACGAATCAGATTTATCTACGGTCATACTATACATATGACATACATTTTTCATTTAAACCGGAGACGACTATCTAGATAACAATACATTGCCCACTAAAACTTAGGCCATTTTAGTAAAACGTTACGGTACGCGGTAAAACTCCAACTTTGCATTTGTTATTGCATTTCTTATTTGTATCAAAATGTGTCAATGTAAAGGATTAAAGCTAATATTGTGATCATATTAAAGCTTTCAGCTTCTGTGTGACCACATGTCTGAAATTACTACCAAAGTAGTAGTTTCGTATGTGTCTATGTATAATTGTAGAAAAAGATTTTGTATGAACTTAGAAGATTGATATGGTAAAAAATATGGTCCAACCAATAGTGTTTTATATTAATACAAATCACTGATAGTGATAATTGTTGACTGATATTCGTTTCACGTGATTATAATACATAGTTATGCCAGTTTTTTACACAGCAAAAATGATATGGAAGTATACAAGAGGTGATATGATATATAATGAAGATTGTACTAACAAGATATGTACTTAAACGATTAAAATATAAAGTATCGACAAATTTGGTACGATTTTTCTTGTTAAATATATATATAAATATATAAATGCTCGTTACGTGTCTTTTTCGTTGGTTGATATCGTTCTAGCAACACTGTCGGGGTTGCGGAGGGGAAAAACAAAAATAGTAGAAATGCTGTTAGGTTTACCTAATAAAGGAAATTTTCGAAAGCGAGGAGCGACTCAATCACGATACGTACTGCAACAATGGCATGCCCTTATTAGTACAATAAGCGTTGCATACGACTATCGTTTAAACACGCTATAAGGAACTAAGAGGATTATTTCTAATAGTTCTATATAGCCGGTTCCTTTTAGGCTTCTACTTTTAGTATCTTTCCCCGTGAAGCCTTCAGTTAAAGAATTTGTGAAATGTTAGAGCTTATGTATAATAAGGTAGAAACAGCATGTGCAGGGTTAGTGATGAGTCGAAAATTAGTAGAAAATACTGTACAAAATTCGATGTTGTCAGAATAGAAATTGTAAATTCAAAAGCGGTTCTTTGGTATGCTCGACAGTGTTGCTAGTTCGAACGTTATTTTGGAACAGCACCATCGCGTCGGTTCGATGTGTTGCTACTCTTTAGCGGGAGGCTTCCCGTTGGTATACTGCGGGGGGGAGGTGGTCGATGTTTGGTTGGGCTGGTCCTCCGTCATTACTGAAACTAGTTCTTCGACGGCGCGGCCAAGATCATCTGTAAGAAAAGATTTTAAGATTGATAAATAAGAAGGTCTTCCTAAGGTAATCGGTGGTGTATTAAAATTTGTCGATGACCTGCTTTTGTGACAACGCAATACTTTACCTCAAGGTATACGTCCTGTTAGGTTCGCATTAAACAGAAAAAAAATTGCATTAATATTAATGTTTCCAAAAGGAAGACACTAAAACATGCGACACTTCAAAATTCATGCAGCAACCTAGAACGACTAATGAAAAACGACCTCTAAAAAATTATAGTATTTCAAATTATTTTAAACACGACATTTTACGAACGCTAACACAATATTAGTCTGTGAACCTAGTAGCAAGAAAACAGCACTCATAAACTCAAAATACAACAAAATAGCTGTTTCAAAGTTAAAACATCTAAAAGCCGTATCGACGTGAAAGCTTCAAACCAATGTGTTAGGGTAGTGGGACGCGCTGACCTGCGCAGTGCATGAGCGAGTGCACGGCGTGCGGCGGCGGCGGCGGCCGCTCCAGCGCCTCGCGCTCGGCGCCGCCCCAGCGCCCTCCGCCGTCTTGTGGCCGACCAAACGTTACTTAGGGACTCGTCTGAGCTAACTTATATTCAATACTTGTAGGAGCCCTAATACTAAAACCTTGAGGCACTCCCTATATTTTTGTTCTACTAAAACAACTTTGAAATGCCTGCCTGATAAATGATGAAAAATGGCGATTCTATTTTTGAGTACTATTTAAAAGGTTTATTTGGATTAATCGATTCTGTTTTTTTTTTAAATTATATGTATTTGAACATTAAAACGAAAAAAAATTGAAGTCTTTTAAATTTTAAAGGATATAAAATTGTTACTCACTAGTTTGGGACTCATGGTAAAGTCCGTTATGCATCTTGGCCGGCGAATCCGTAGCGAGCTGTGACGCCGTGACCGACCTGGTCTGGAGAGTGCCAGTTCGGGCCGGAGGGGATCCTTGAGCAGGCTGTATAATAAAGAATTTAGAGTAGGTGTAAAATATAGACGTATTATATAGCGTGATTTAATATGTGGGCGAAGTCGCATCAGCGAGGCCCCTTTTCTTTCGTTATCAAGATCTACGCAATATACCAAACATGCTTCGACACTATATACCTCCCATGATATTGATAAAATATAAATGGTTCAAGTCTCGTATTCCGTCAATGTAACGGTCGCGGTTTCTGGAGGTAGTTACAACGGCCTCACAGTTACACTTAAGACTTCTTGGGAAGCCCAAAAGAAACACGCTTTGTGACGTTCTTTTCCAGCGCAAAAGTGATCAAATTATTTACTCATCTGTGGTAAAGTTTGAAGGCATTAAAAAAAAAGGGGTGGGTCACCCTTGTATTTTAGGGGTATAAAAAATAGATGTTGGCCGATTCTCAGACCTACCCGATGTGCACACAAAATTTCATAAAAATCGGTCCAGCCGTTTCGGAGGAGTATGGTAACTAACATTGTGACACGAGAATTTTATACATAAGATATTTAAAAAAAAAAAACAGTAGCTTTTGGAAGATCTATGATCTTGATGAATTACCTCATCGAGTAGTCTCCTGAGTCGCTGCAACTGTGCCTCGAGCTGTCGATTGTGCTCCTCGAGGATCTGCATGCGAGCCTCCAGCCGTCCCTTGTGCTGCCGAAGTAAACGGGCCTCGGCCATCATGTCCTGAAAGATATTTTAAATTAGAACTTTGAATTACCTTTTTCAAAATTAAGATATATAAACTTGGACTTTGATTTTTAAAGCTCCCGAGGCTTAAACCGAATACAGAGGCATTATTTTTTCTTGTGGTAAATAAAATCATCAAAAGTAATGCTTAGTGTTCGAAGGCTTGTACCTGATCAACTGGAGCGTTTCTATTTTCATTAACACCATGTTGATCCTCTGGCGTAGATCCCGGAGTCTGCTTTGCCTTGAGGCGTTCGTACTCAGCCTGGAGACTAGCATTCTCTTCTTCTAATTCTCTGTAATGTTGATATTGGTCTTTAAATTATGGATCTTTGAGAAGTTGACATGGGTATATAATCTCACAAGTCTATTTTAACCCTACTGTAAGTAGTAGTTCAATTTTCAGACTTTAACTAAGTAGTCCAATACCTGATCATAGCTTCGAGCTCGTGACGTTGCTCTCGATGTATGATAGACACGACTTGAACAGGGGAGCGAGGTGCGTCATCAGTTTCCCCACCACCATTCAGCGATGCGCAATATTGAGCGATTAGCTGATGTTCTTCGTCACTGCAAAGTAAGATGATCAATATTTCATTTCAAATTCTATTCACGTAATTATACATTATACAATTTTTTGACTACGTTAAATATTTAAAGAAATTTCATTGAGATTCATTAATATACCTGTCCGGAGTATCTCCTGGCTTAGCACCCAATTCGACCTGGGCAAGTCTAGTGGCGTACAGCTCAAGTCGCGAGTGCATATCGTCTCCACCGAGTGCGGCTCCTGACCCACCTACGTGTTGCGGAGATGGAGCTGGAGATTCCAAAGCATCTCCTGGAACATTAATGACATTATTTGTAGTTAAAATGAATAACAAATATTTATATTTAACTTAAAATTGTTTTTTTATAATATTAACTGAGTAACAACCTTCTAGAACTGTCTGTACGGGCAGATATCCTACTCTAGGATGTTTCTTGAAGTATCTTGCCGACTTGAACTTATTACGCAAAGCGCGAGTGAAGTCTCGCACATCTTCGCCAGATGTTGTCTGTAACAGATAATTTTAAAGTAATTTCCATATTTATTTAACTATGTAATTAAGATCCTTTTTGAACGTTTCTTTAAACGATAATACTTACAGCAGTGCAATACTCCTGCATGGGATGGGTTAACTTGTGGTTCTTAGCTTTGCGTCCATTAAAGAAGCACTTCTGACACATGTCGAAGTTGAAACATTTCAGGCAGCGGTATCTGCAATTATAATAAACAATGATGTTTTAGATTTAATAATTACTTCTATTAAAGTTACATAGGACCTAAAGAGCTACCTTGGAATACTCCTAGCATTCATAAAGTCATAAAATTTAAATTGCTCACCTGAATCCTATAATTGGATACTCCTTACAGATATTGCACTTGGCTTGATGTTTAGCAGTTTCAGCAGCAGCCAAACGATGTAGTACTGGTAGCCAGACCATCGACTGTGGCTCCTTTTGAAGCCATTGTAAAAAGTGGAATGCTTCAATAAATTGCAACTGGCCGTCTGCGTCACGTTCCAGAGTTTTCTCCTTTGAGGATTCTTCTTTCTCCTTTTCTTTATCTGTTGAGTTTTGAAAAGTATTAAGAGTGGCAAAAAAATATTATATAACCCTCTATATAAATATTTTCAGAAATATTGTTGGATTATAACTTTACTCACCAGCTTTCCTATCAAGAGTACCACCCCTATTTCCGTCTTTGGTAGCAGCAGACGCTTGCTCAAAACAGCTCCTGACTGATGGTTCAATATTGGATCCTCCAAACGCAGCCACTTCACCGAGTTGTCGAGGTACCTTAAAATAAATTAATTCAGTGTAATTTATCATATGATTATAAATGATAAGAGATAAGACTGAGCTAGTGTATAACTTACTTGAATGCAATCATGCAGTAACAATCCAAGTTTTCTTTGGTCAGCTCTACATGATGGGTCAGCTATCAGACGGAATAAATATCTGAAAGTAAATTTTTCAGTAAAGATTATCACACAATTCCTTAAGATAGATTTTGCATCCTCTAGATCAAATTTAAAATTGATTTGAGTAATTTTCTTCTTACCTGTATTTCTCTTCTAGATGTCCTTTACATAGTAATACTAAGCCAACTTTGAAACTAAGAACTCTGATTTGTCCCGTCCTCTGGCTATCGTATACGTTGAGAAGCCAGTTGATGGACAAGTCTAGACAGAGAGGTACGTTGACTAAGCTAGGATTTTCTGCTGCTATAACCTGGAGAATACAAGAGATAAATGTAATATTAGTTTAGCCTTACTAAGATTTTTCATCACGTATCCCGAGTTACATAGCTTTATAATTAACATGTGGTTACCTCGTAGAGGGATGTGAGAACATTGATCATTTCAGGTATATCAATAAGACGGTCGTTTTGCGCACGTAGGCCATGGCAGTCGAATGCTTCTAGTGCAGCCGGCAGCTGAAGCATGTGCACTGGAAGAATGATGCGAACATGAGCATGGTTTTCTCTGGAACTTTTTAGAGAGACTATTTTGCAGTGTCTGCCTTTCATGTTGGAAAAGCATGAAGTTAAATATGAAACTACTACACAATACTGTTAACAAGCTATAAATGAGAATTTAAGTTTGTCATGCTATGCTTTTACGTCTTAATTATTCAAGCGATTATCGTGAAATGGTGCATAAGGCACATCTTTTATACTGAACAATACATTCTTGCTATAGTGTATTGTAGTGGGCAAAAACTAGTGACTTCAAAGTAGCTTGAATTGCATTTATAATAAAAATTCAGTCTAGTCTATTGTTAGGAACAGGAATATCTTCGAAACTACTTACTGCATAGCGCCTTTTGCACAGTCCTCAACTTCAATGCTGTCCTATATGCCGAGAATCGAACTTCATTCAGATCGGCTAAGGAGTTCATCAGGTCGATCATTTTCGGATGGTCCCAATGTGTGGTCTCTAGTTCATGACTGGAGATATAGAAAGAAAAGAATGAATAATATTCTTTTAAGTATCGATTGGTAATATGAATTCCTACAAGTATATAAAAGTAGAGCTTCAGATGAGTCAATCTCTTGGAATGATTACGCATAGCTGGATGGTCGGCGTTAAAATTATTATTACTCTACAATCAAATTCTAAAGAAATAACCTAAGAAATTTGATGAAAATTGCCCTTTCCTAGAATTTGGCAATTTTTTTTTTGTAAAAGATCTACTAGCAAACAAAATTACTAGTATTCCTGTAAACCAATGCCGCTAAGCTAAATTGCTGTGTCACATAAAATTTGTCTTTTTGTTTTTATCCTCGATTACATCTAACTGCCAAAATAGTAAACAATTAAAATCTGACATCTTAACAATCTTAACAATAAATTGTTCTTACTTAATGTAGTAAGGTACGTTAGCAGGAGTGACGGCTCGTTCCCAAGGCGTCTCGACAGAGCCTGCGAGGAAACCTTGAGCTGCACCGGCACCTCCGTCTCTGGCAACACCGGCTAATTGCCGCACTCGTTCCTCTCCACCGGACACAAGGCCAGATACCCTGGAAACATAATTAACGGATCATTGTTTTTCTTCGTTCATTATCGTAACATATGTTATGGAACGTTTCTTTCGATTTCCAAGTAAAAAAATATCATCAGGAATAGATAATGCGTCTGACTTGTGGGGAAGTAGTTTTAGGTTTAAACCAGTTGAATAAAATACTTATCCAGTGCTGTACCAAAATGAGGCAATTCCTAATACAACCAATTTATTTTAACTGGATAAGTTAGCAAGTACATATATTAGGTAATGCCTGATTTTTGTTTAAAATTTAAAATTAATGAGTAATACTCGTACCTGGTATTTAAATCATCAAGCCTGGCCAACATATGGTCAGGCAATTGAATCTTATCTCTTGCTAGCTGTTGAGCTTGAGCGTGCAGTTCATCAGCCAGTCTCCTGAGCGGTGGGAGTTGAGCACGCGCACGTGTGACTGCGTCGAGTTGAGCGCGTGCATCGCGAGCGTCTCCAGGCCCTCGCCATGAGGAGCGTGCTGCTTCTGCGGCCTGCACGCGCCCGGCGAGCTCGTCTAAGGAAGTAGTGAAGGTGCGGACACGCTGTGGAAGGAACAAATAAAATAATATTAGTCAATCTACTGGATCATTTGTGTTACGCGATATCTTCGAAATGAGTGAATCAATTTCAATATTTCTTTGGATGGATTTAATAAAATATTATATCTCTAATAATGCAAAATTATGGGGGATGAAAAGCTTCGTATAAATTATAACAGATACAGCTTGGTAAACATTGAGCATGATTAAATTTAAGCCCTCTTGTTGATCAAATGTAGATTCGTTGTTCCACATGTTTATTTCATTTTTCAACAGCTCCCTTTGTAAGGGTTAAACTTTCCTATATATAACCTGCCTCAAGAATTGGGCTACCCACCAAATGCAAGAATTATAATATACTCTTATAATAGACTAGCAATTACGTAGATCACAGCGTTCAACCATACGAAAAACAAACTTTTGGCCTTTTTGATTAATTAAAATAATCACGTTCTCTTTCAATTATTTCATCAAAATATATTTAAAACTAACTTTGAATTCTATAATATGTATTATTTTTTAAAAACTTATTAACTTAACATTTAATAAGTTCGGTTTAGGATGTACAAGTTGTTACATTTAACGTTCAGACCGGTTGCTGGCAGTGACCTTCCAAGGGTGCGGCCAACCTTGCTGCTCGTATTGGGTTACTCGCACAACCACAGAACCACAACCTCGGTGATTGTCTGTGCATCGCAACTGAAATACCTGTGTAACTATAATATCGCTATCACAATACACGGGTTCCTAATACGTAGTATATTGTAAGAGCATGCCCAGCAGTGGACTGCAATAGGCTGATGATGATGAGGATGATGTAAGAGCATGAAGTGGAAAGTGAAGACGACGAAGCCTACTATATTAAAGGCCGCGTGTTCGATCCTGTTTAATACATAAATTTGTGTGAATAACAGCAATAATGTTGGTCTTGATTTTTATTTATACGTGTATTTATAATATTATCTAATGTTCTGTTGTTATAGAAGTTTTAGCAAAAAGCAAGTTTTAGTTTTTAGAAAAATAACAAACTAAAAGACGAATTATTTAACTGCCTAAAACACGTTATGAGGTTTAAAAATTTGTTCAGTCAGTTAAGATTATTGTTTTTGTTTCATTTTTGTTTTTCGCAAACAAGTATACGGCCTTCTGATTACTATAGCCTATCGTCTCTTGTAAAATAATGCACCCATGCCGTTTCTTCGAATGTCTCTTCGAAGACCCATTTTTAATAGTCATTTTATAAGATATTGTATTGTTTGAAGAATAAAATAAAAACGTAAAACCTTTTTATACGTTACATCAGCATATTTGCGAGTCCTCAGCGATATAACACACTCGTGTCGATAATAGCAGGATGGCTGTTCCGACGTGTGTCACATACCTGTGCGTTGACGCTTAAGGGTGCGTAATGATAGGGGAGGTTTTGCTTACGCAATTCAACTGTTGGGTATTCGTAGTGGATGTGAGTTAAGAGAATATTTACGGTATATTATGTTGATTTTTAGAAGATCCTTTGACACGCGAGTAGTACTGTCAATGAGGGTAAGGAATTTGGCTGTAAAACTTTACATGGATGGACCTATTAGGTAATACTTGAAAAATCACGGTATGCATTAGTCTTTCAAGTGTTTAATCTCGTTTTAATGGTCGTGAGCTTGTTTGCCCTTTCTTCTCATAAGGCTCAACCCCTTGGAAACGGGCGGTTGTAGATCGGCACGGGCATATAATAGATTTTCTGTATGTTTATATTTATTTGACAAAACAGAGATTGTTGCTATTGTGCGCGTTGATCTATGGCTTTAGAGTCTACAGTCATAAGAGACGATTTCAAACAATTTTAAAACAATTTATGAAATAAAAATAGTTTGAGTTTGAATAGACAGACAGACAGACCTTGTATATGGCAACCAGACTAATAATAAACATACTTTCATATTAATAAATACATACATACAAATTGTAGATAAATTACACAGAACAAATGATCGTGGTTATCATTAAATATTCATTCTGGGTGGAGAATCAAACCCATGAGCTCTGACTTATTAGTTAGAATTATCAATCACTAGACCGGGCCGTCTTTTGAACTCTTACTTTAAAAAAATATAAAATGCGGCCAGTTTAGCTTACTTATTAAGAAATCCTTTAAATAAATTAATACCTTTTTTTTGTATCTGGGTGTAATTTATCTAAAATATGTATGTATGTACCTATGTGTTTAAAAATATACAAGTGTGTTTATGAACCTGGTTAGTACAGGCTCTGCCTAATCTATAATAGTATACATATATATATTATGCTACCTTTAATCCCAAAATTTATATGAAAAAAATCGTACAGTACAGTACAGCCGTGGGAAAAATCTCATAATCATTGAAAGCAAAGTTTGTTGCGAGGTTACGAGGCGCCACCACACCAACAAATATAAATTGAACACAAAAGTAACGCAGTAATTATTAATAAAAGATACAAATTACTTAATTCAAACTTAATGGGTACTGAGACAATTGACTGGATTAAATAATTGTATACAAGTTGTCCGAGTATTTAACTTAACAATGTGATTAATAACACTTTATTTAACTGACCTCACAAAAGTTCTCAAGTTGACTGTATTTAATTGTACCGATGCCTATTATTTTTAATTGGTTGCACTCAGTTGTCCCATTTAAATTCCCAACTCTAAGACTGAAAAATTAAGGGATGAACAATTAAACTTATTCAATCCGTGTGGTGACGGATTAAGAATATAAAGTGTCACCACCCCTACTCACCCCGTGGGTGTCGTAAGAGCCGACTAAGGGAGCAAACTACGCAGAACATCAGCACTGCAGAGAGAAGGAAAACTTGACCCAAACCCTTTTTTTTTTTTTTTTTTTTTTTTTTTTTTTTTTATTTACGTGTGGAAATCCCCTCGGACCGTCACCCCTCCGGGGTTTGCGGCGGGGTGGTGTGTCGGACTCGGACCGACTAAAACCACACGGTGTGCCACTCTGCGCCTGTAACAGGAGGGATCCGGGAACAGCTGTTGTTAAGACATCCGGACCCCTCCTAGCGCCAGCCCGCTGAACATTATCCTCCCCGTGCTCCCCGTCGTCTCCGGCCAAGGAGGCCATCGACGGGGGAGTGTGTTCCGCCCGTTGTGGGAAAAGGCCCTCAACCACTTCTCGCAGGAAGCTGGGCTGGAGAGTCTCCGTAAGGGGGGGGCCCGACGCGCGGAGCTTTTGTCGCACCGCGCGGTAAGGGCGACCCCAGGGGTCACGATTAAGACCCTCCAGCATCTCCTGTCTTTTTTCTTCTTTGGCGCGGCTAATGGCCAGCTTCAGAGTTTTCCGCGCCCGTCGGTACTCCTCATGAAGCCGGTCCTCCTCACCGTCTCCACGGTGACGCCGCCGACTGCGCGTGTAGGACCTCCGGGCACGTGTACAGGCCGCACGGAGGTCCGCCAGCTCCTGGGACCACCAGTAGACCTCCTTCCTTGGAGGCCGACGACCTCGAACGCGGGGCATGGCCGCATCGCATACATGCGTAATCGCATCGCGAAAGCGGCCAGCCCCCACGTCGACCTCCTCGGTCGGAGCCTGAGGAGACAGCCGCGAGTGAATTATGGCTGCCTCCTCCAGTAGGTCCCGGTTCAGCCTGGCAACAGCCCACCGCGGAAAGCGGGATAAACGCCGCGCCACGTGACCCCTACTGGAGTCCTGGGTCCGGGAGAGCTCAAATCGGATATACAGGTGATCCGAGAGCGTCTCAACCTCTTCCAGGACACGCCAGTTCCTTACTCGTGCGGCGAGGGCAGGGGTAGCGAACGAGAGGTCCACTATCGACCCCCCCTGCTGTCGCACGCACGTGTTGGTGGAGCCTCTGTTTAGAAGACAGAGGCCCACCGAGGCCGCCCACTCCTCTACGGCCTCGCCCCTGGCGTCCGTCCTGGGGGAACCCCACGCAATGGACTTTGCGTTGAAGTCCCCCAGCACAAGGACGTGCCCAGACGCTAGTCGCCGTATCGAGGTCTCCAAGCTGGTTAGGAAAACCTCGAAGTCGTTCAAACTCCGGTTGGGGGAGAAATAGACACCATATATGGTGATCCCCCCCCACTCGACGGCAACATATCCAGTGCCCTTGTCTCTTAGCGACAAGGGCGGGGAATGAGCCGTCGTGGAACCGACGACTGCCACGGAGCCGTCCCAGTCACCCATCCAGTTTGGACGGGGAGGGACAGAATAGGGCTCCGCGACTACGGCAACACCTATCGACCACTGTGCCATGGTTTGCAGGAAGAGATCCTGCGCCGCGGCACAGTGGTTCAGGTTCGTCTGGACCAGGAGGTTGGAGACTTGATCCATTACTGGATCGTCTCTACAACCTCCTCCATGGGCGACGACGTCGACGCACGAACTACATCGGAGGCAGCCTGGGTCGACTGGCTAACCCCCGACGTCTGCCGAGAACTGCGGGGAGGCTTGCAGCCTCTCTGCCCCATCTGGTGATTGGCGGGCTTATTGCCCGCCGCACACACTGGGCAGTGAGGGGCGGCAGAGCATTCTGCCGCCTTATGCCCCGGTTGACCGCAGCGGAAACACAGTCCGCCGCAGTCAAAACAACTGTCGCACTTGACGCGCGTGTGTCCCGATGCTAGGCATTTGTAGCATCTCATCGGTCTCGCCGCCAGGACTGTGATCCTGGCGCTCACGAAACCGATGAGCAGCCTGCCGGCGTCGGCCAATACTTTGGCCGACGCTACGGGACAGCTGACCCACACGGCGCCAAGCCCTCCTGGACCGGGGCGGATGGTGCCGACCCTGACGTTGTCCGCGCTGCACCCCGTCTTCTCCCGGATTACAGCGCGGACATCTTCGGCCGTCACTGAGTCGTCCAGGCCCGAGATGCGCAGTTCCGCGCACTTGGTAGGCCTGGCGACCCTGACACCATCTGTGGCTGCAAATATTCCCCGCAGCTTCTCAGCGAAGGAGTCCGCCGTCTTTGCGCCTTCAGCCCCAGGGAAACCCTATACCAACCCGTCTGGCCAGCGTGGTATAGTAGGGCAAAACATCCTTTTTTTGAATTGATATAAATTATTATAAGAATTAATATGTATCATTCGTCGTCGTGTCGTTATTTGTATTTGATTGCAAATATTTTAATGCAAAAGCATACTTGTATTGTGTGGGAGTTCATATATAGAGCTTTACAAACAAATATTGAAGTAGGTACATATGTTTACGGGTTCTAGAACCCATATTACAAACTATGCTTTATTCGGGTCTAAACAGCACTGTGTAATATGTTCCCGATATAAAATTATATGCTGTTTTAAGGCGCAGATGGTTTCTAGTGTATTCCATTTAAAAACAATCAATCTTTTATGATCTTTAAATAAATTACCAAATTTGTTGTCTCTTCTGTGGAATTTTTTTTACGAAAAAAAAACCTATTATGTAATGTCGTAATAGAAACATAGTTATCAACGAATTTGACGCCAATGCAGTAGCGAAATAGTTTCTCATTGATTGACAAATACATGTGTACGTTAGTAATTCTGACTGTCAGCAAAGTTTTACTTTAAAAGATGTCGTCATATACATTACATTAGTGATAAATGTTGAACGTAAAAATAACTGGAGACATCTCACACACGGCCGTCTGATCCCAAGCTAGGCACAACCTGTACTTACTGTGGTAAACAGACTGCTT